AATAGCTTTCCAGAAAGACTCCAGTGCATGTGAAGTGATTCGGACTCGGAGGAGGAAGTTCTGAACTGGCTGAGCAGGAAGGGTGTAGCATGTCCTCTAGTTTAATAGTCTTTCAGCTGGAGATTTTAACCCAACTGTCAGTGCCTCAAGGCTAGAATAGGTGATACTGAGAGTTTAATAGCTTTGTTTTGTGCAACTTGAGTCCAAACTAAAGGATATCCTGTGACTGGTTTTACCTCTTGGCTTTGAGATTCTGAAATCCCTTTCCCTATAATCTTGGTAGCACTGTTTAAGTAACTTTCGTACTTTGATTGCAGTAATACATGTAAGAAAATCAGATAGTGAAGGATGAAGCTTGAAAAACTGTGAAGGGTACATTAGAAACAAATATTACGTCATACATGGAAAAGCTTATGAATGAACTCTGGGAGGTGGTGTTGTAATACTAAGTTTATGCTTATCCATTTACATGTGCTGAGAGAACTTTAAAAGTATTGGTAATGCTTTATTTCCGTCTGTTACTTATACAGATAACGCATTTCCTTTTTTGTGTTCACAACTGCATGTAACTGACACTGTGAGTGTCAAACCACTGAATTATTTAGCTAGTAGGCTACTGACCTTTAGTGGAAGCAGCACATTGGAAACTTATTCTCCTTAATTTAGGAAGCTTTTGCCTTAATTTTAATTTGCCTATTTGCTAGAATGTGAGGAATTTAAGAGGGAGGGTGCTGTTATTTACAGCATGTGTTGAAGGTATGATCTTTGCAATGTAATAATTACTTTTTCTCTCTTTAGGAAATACACATAAAGGAACCCATAGAAAAGGAAGTAAATCCTCACTTATTACCAGGTATCTATTGTATATTGTATTATTAGAATTAAATAATAAAAAAAAAATCATGTAAACAGTATTTAAATATTCCCATGTCTGCAGCAAACACTCATGTGACATCAGTGTCCCAAATAGTAAAATAGAGAGTTTGGTGTTACAGCCCACACAGGTTGAAATGTTTTAGATATCTGTATCTGCATGGGTTGTTGAAAAAGTATAGAGTACACTATCTTCAGGAAAGCTGCATGTGGAGAACTGTCTATACTTCAGTTTGCCCTTTTTCTTAAAAGATAAAGTTGGGTGGTTTTTTTGTTTGTTTGGGAACTGAAGACCTAGTGGAAACTTACTTTCTGGTTGCTTTGCTTCTACTATGAGTTAAGCCTTTTGATGCCTCATTCACTGTTAAGATTTTTTTTATTTATTTTACAATTCTTTCTTTTTAAAAAATCTTTTCAAAGATCAGGAAAGATGATGTTACTAAGTTAAAATACAAGTAAAAGCTTAGAATTAAACTAGTATTGTTCCATTGGGTTTTCTGTATTTTATAGGAAAGACCAAGAGTCTTGCTGATTACACCTATTAAAATCTGTTTTTACTTTCTTAAACTTGAAGTTCAGTTCCTGCTAATTTTAAGATTAGAACTTGATTGACCATTATTTATGCAAACTTGTGTTTGAGAACTTCAAAATAGCCCTGGGACCTGTAAAATAAGCAACATCTCCAGTCAAAGCTATGAAAAATTAACTATGATGAACTTGTAATAATCAACTGACATGTTTCAACATTCTTAGAGTTTAGCAGTAAGGAAAATTGGAACAGTTTTCAACTTGTTTATTGTCTGTATTAACTACTCTTCAGTGGGCTTTGGTTTTTTTAGTACACACTCATATGGTTGCTCTTTGCAACTCCACGTGTTGTTCTCCTACCGCTTAGAGTAGGCCATGATACAAGTACTTCTGGTTACAGAACTCCTAAATGTAAGCAGTTGAACAGTGTTCAGTCCATTTTGAGTAATGTTAATAACCTGGAAGGCTCTCAATGTACTGATTCTGGGAGCTGCCTCTTTGTCTTTTTGTATAACAGTTATGAAATATCTTCAGGCATATAGTTATGAGAAGTTGTCAGGAAGTTCATGCTGAGTTTAAGATAACAGTTGAAATAATTCAATTACAAATGTCAGTTATGTTGCAAGTCAGTGTTTCTTTTATACAGGTGAACTGCTGCTTTGCGAGGCAAGCACGGTATACAAGTATATACAAGAAGATGGGTCAAATCGTGGCACCTATGGGAAACTTGTATGCACAAACTTCAAGATTGCTTTCCTTGACGATGATTCTGCTTCAGATGATAATGTAGGAAGACCAGTCTTCTAATTATGACCAAACAGGCTCTGAAGATATATAGTGTCTCTGACTAAATAGTCATGTCTCTCCCTTATATAAGGATACAGCATAAATATAGCTTTTTAAGTTTCGATGGCTGCAGACTAATTTTAATCAGTCTTCATCTGCTTGGTCTATGCAGATCCTTCCTCAAGCTCTAATTATTTAAGTAAAAATTGTGCAAGCCTGTATGTGGATGCTTACATTACACATAGTTTATAACTCTTTATATCTTGTGAGTTAGTAATTTTGTGAAGCTTAAATTAAAAGAATGAATTGTTTTGAAAATTAAATCAACAGTTTGTTTAAACCTGATTTCTGACTGCTTGTCTAGTAGTTCTACTTGGCTGCATGAGACTGAGTAAGCTGGTATTCAGTGGAAATGCTCTAGATAATGTTTGTGTGGCTCAGTAAAGCTCTGAATTATTCCATTCAAAGTCAGGTGTTGAATGCAAAGATTTAAAAACCTGGTACTATTGAGCTTGCAAACATTGCAAGTGTGGCCAGCAGGAGTAGGGAAGTGATCGTGCCCCTGTTCTTGGCACTGGTGAGGCCGCACCTCAAATACTGTGTTCAGTTTTGGGCCCCTCGCTACAAGAAGGACATTGAGGTGCTGGAGCATGTCCAGAGAAGGGCAACGAAGCTGGTGAAGGGTCTAGAGCACAAGTCTTATGAGGAGCAGCTGAGGGAACTGGGGTTGTTTAGCCTGGAGAAAAGGAGGCTGAGGGGCGACCTTATGTGCTCTACAACTACCTGAAAGGAGGTTGTAGCGAGGTGGGTGTTGGTCTCTTCTCCCAAGTAACAAGTGATAGGACAAGAAGAAATGGCCTCAAGTTGCACCAAGGGAGGTTTAGGTTGGATATTAGGAAAAAAATTTTTCACTGGAAGGGCTGTCAAGCATTGGAACAGGCTGCCCAGGGAAGTGGTTGAGTCACCATCCCTGGAAGCATTTAAAAGACGTGTAGATGTGGTGCTTAGGGACATGGTTTAGTGGGTATGGTGGTGTTGGGTTGACAGTTGGACTCGATCTTAGAGGTCTTTTCCAACCTTAATGATTCCATGAGTCTATTAAAAAAGCTAAAAAGTCCCCAAATCTTAGAAATCAGTTGAATCTTGTTGCCTTTGTTTTAGATGTTCAAATTGAGCTGTCAAAGGGGAATGGTAATGTCACACCTTTTTTGATGTGCTTAAGCATCTGAAACAGTCTGGTCCATTTAGGTGATAAAAGTGAAGGAGAGCCTAGCTTATGGCTCTCGAGTGCAAGGTGATCTTGACAGTAAAGAAGAATGAGAAGAATACAATTGACACATGTTGATTATAGTCGGAAGTTCCTTGGGGTAACATTTCAGGGAGTTTCAAACTAAGGCTTCTGCAGCCAAATACAGATTTTTGGACCTTCTGCAATTAATTGGGACAAAGCTGCAGAGCCCTTTCCACAGATCACATGAGATTCATGCTGAAGTTGGTAGTGACCATGCTAATTTCTGTTCCATCACTAACTTTAAATCTTGGGTTTATAGCATGCCAAGTCAACTATATTTCTCTTAACAAAGTCCAATATTAGCCACCTGATTCAGAGTAGCGCAGACCTGGAAATAACTTGAATGAGGACATAACTGAGAATGAAGACAGGTTCACAGCTGTCTTCATGTAAAATGTAATTTGATGATGTAGCGTAGATCAGCCTTCTGGTAATAATATTTAACATAACGATGTTTACTTGTGGCATCACTCAAATGTAATTTTTAACTCTGAACTCATGGAATGATAAAAGTGAAGGTAGCTCCAAATCACTTCAAGTTTGGCAAAACAGTAGACAAGACAATTGGGTTGTGCGTGTCTTCATTTTACCCAGTGATAAATCTGGCTGTTCTGTTGGAATATTCTTGGGATACTTGTTCTTTTAAGAGACTTTCTATTTCCTGCCAGGTTCCCATAGCAAGGAAACTTATCATAGAAGGGCTTGGATTACATCAAGTTACTGTATTTCCTGTTTACTGCAATGATTCCAGTTTGAAAAGTGACTCTCAATAGAAATGCATGCTTTGAAGCTATTTGAAAAGTAAAAACTCTATCTACATTTCAAGCATGGCTGAGAAATAAAACTGGATCTGCAGTTTATAAACTATGCTTGTGTAACATGCATCTGTCTATTTTAATAAGTGTTCTTAAGTGTTCTGCCTTAAACAGCTTATAAGAATAAGAAGTAATGCTGATATTAAAATAGGTACTGAATACATCCTTTATTTGTGAGAAGGTGCTACTGCTTAGTAGTGTAAGATTTCTAAGATTTTTTTTCATGTTCTAGGAGCCACAATTTAAGAATAAGATCGTAGGAGAAAATGACATAACCCTGCAATGTGTAGATCAAATCTATGGAGGTAGGTCAGCTTTCTCCTCTTCGTTTAACATGCCTCACTCTTCTAACTGTCTTATAGTGCTGGTCCTCTTTGTACACGTACATCTTTTTTAGAAAACTGATAGAGTTGTCACTTTGGGAACTAGGATTGGGTAGTCTGGAAAAAACAGCTGCAGTTATATTTAATGATGAAATGACAGATAAGAGATCTACCAGAATCCAGTCTTACCCCTCAAGCGTGTCAAAGCTACCTTTTGATTAATTATCTTGCTGGGACAGATGAAAAAATTCCTTCAAAATGCCATGATTCAAAGCAAAGAAGAGTGTACTGTGAAAAGTCTCTGATTAAGACTGGTGCACAAGGATCTTCCAGTGTATCAACTATTTCTATAAATATGGAGGTATTCACTTCATTTGGGCGATAGCACTGCAGAGCAGTACAGGTACCAAATTCCCAAACAATACTTTTTTTTGTCTAAGGGAACTTTGTTTTATGAGATTCATGATGTCTTCAAAATATCAAAGGAGATAGAAAACAAGGTTTTAATTTACAAGTAAATTGATGAGTGTTTTGCAGCAGGGCTTACAGGCATGCCTGTATTGCTAAAAAAGGTAAAGGAGAGTGGGCTGGTAACTTGTAAGTAGTGGGGAAGGCTTTATTGAGAAGCCTGACTTTGGACTAGTGTTAGAGTATTCGGAGTATTTATGAATGGTGGTGTGGATTCGTGAAGGAGTGGACTAGGGGGAGACTAGTGGAGTCTGGTTATGAAACATTACTTAGTTTCATAAATTTCTAAATTTAATTTAAATTTCATAAATTAAAGAAATTAAAAAATGTCTTTACTGAAAGAGTGGTTAAACATTGGAAGAGGCTGCCCAGGGAAGTGGTTGAGTCCCCATCCCTGGAAGTATTTAAAAGACGGGTAGATGAGGCGCTTAGGGACATGGTTTAGTGGGCATGGTGGTGTTGGGTCGACGGTTGGACTCGATGATCTTAGAGGTCTCTTCCAACCTTAATGATTCTATGATTCATGTACAGTGGCCTAGGTGGTAGCACTTGAAGTTGTGAAATGATACATCCTCAAACAGAGGTGAACAAAAGGCTCTCTTGGGGAATTTATGGTGGTGAAAACAAAATTTTTTTTTTAGGAACTTAGAATGACCTCAGTTGTTCAGGGACTTTCCCTCAGGCAAAACTACTAAATTATGTTCTTTATGCATCTTAAAACTGAACTTACTGCGCAGTCAGAATGTGAACAGAAATAATCACTGACCAGCTGGCTTGCTGCAAGTTTGGTTTCCACCTTGCAGGAAGTAGTTTGAGTGGGCTTAAAAAAAAAGAAGTTGAGTGTATTAGCACAAGAGCTTGTCAGTCTTTTGTAGGCTCCTCATTTTGACTTGCTAAAACTTGGGTTTCAATTAGTTTCCTGAGAACTTTGAAAAGTCAAGCAGGGATAGCTTTATCAACTGATGGCAAAGTTCTTTCTTAAATTTACTTAGACTTTTTAATTTTGCAGTTTATGATGAGAAAAAGAAACTCCTAACTGGACAACTGAGAAAATACCCAGAGAAGCTGATTATCTACTGTAAAGACCTTAGAGTATTTCATTTCTGCCTGAGATACACAAAAGAAGAGGAAGTGAAAAGAGTAAGTATAGTAACTTAATTTGTTTTTCTTTTTTAAGGTTAGGGTTGGGGGTTTAGTTATGGGGATGAGGGAAGGATGAAATTCACCCTGAGAGATTCCTTAAACTTGAAGTGTTTTCTGGTCATTCCCAATTGAGAGAGAAAGTAAGACTTTGATTTGTAGCTAACCTTACTCATTAAATATCATTATGTATAGCAGCTAAAAAGATCAGATGCACTGGCTTTTTGAAGAAAACTTGAGCTTAAGACTACTACATGAAATTAGCTTCAGATCAGGCAAACTTGTTAAGCTATTCTGTTTGTGGTACAATTTTATTACATTTTAGACTTCAGCCTTTTTCATATGAAAGCAGTTATTTTCCTGATAACTTGGGTTCTTTTGACAGGTTAATCTGAACTCCAAACTAGGAGTCCGCTACCTTTATTTAAATAATAAGAGTCATTCTGGAAGTTGAACAGACATAATACTTTTCATTAAGCCAAGTAGGTATAGTGTCTTGCAGACAATGGAGAAGGCTTTCTAAAAGTCAGTTTTCAGCTGTTGGGGATAGAACCCATTGAACAGTTTTGTTTAAAACCTGGGAGAGGCGGGTAAAAAAAAAATCATGTTTTTTACACTGACAGTCTTAGTCTGTGTTTGGGTGTTAATTTTTGGTACTTTCCTAGATCGTCAGTGGTATAGTTCATCATAGCCAGACTCCTAAGCTGCTTAAACGCTTGTTTCTGTTCTCTTATGCATCAGCTGCCCCAAACAACACAGGTAATGTTTTTCCATTTTTGAGTTTTATTTGTTGCACACTGTTAGTTCCTTAAGCAGTCTGGGACACTTAGTAGCTGAGTTTGTGCTTGGCTTATGACTCTGCCCTGCTGGCAGGTAGCCTCAGAAGATTCATTTTTCTCTTGTTGTGCTTTGTTAGACTTGTTGCTAAAAACCTCTGAGTTGTCGGCTGCTGGTTTCTGTGTCCCTCAATGTAATTGCACAGAAATTGTCCAAGGAAGAGTAGCATCGCTGGATTGAAAACTTACTGTGATCAATATGTGCAAATGCTTTTCATGTGCTTCTGACTAGAGTGCTCTCATCTAGAAAATATTTTGCTTATTATATCAGTGTGTTTTTTCCGTACTATTGCAGTGAACCAAAGTTCCTGCTTTTAATTCTTAAATTATTAAATTTTCAGTGGCATCTGACAAAGTATTTCCTTTTTTGCTCTTATTTGCAAGCAATCTGCTTCTCCCAGGCAACTGCAAAAAAAGCATAAGTTTGCCTAGCAAGAGTCCAGTGGACATCTGGCTTCCTCTTGTAGCTAACTTATTACATAATCTTCCCACTTGATCAAATGTGACTGAATAATATAGTAAGCTGCAAAATTCAAGACAAAAAGTTGTCAGTGCACTTTTTAGCATTTCATAGTTCAGACTTCAACTGAAGTAATAGCGCTGTTTTGAGTTAGGAACCTGATTCTTAGTGCACCAGGAACACCTGTTCCTTCCACAGAGGGAAGTTTTGATGTACCCAAGGTATTAATCGGACACTTATTAAAATATGTCATGGGATTAAAGAATCATTGAGGTTAGAAGAAACCTCTGGAGATCATTTAGTTGTGTTCCTGTCCATCTCCCCATGTTTAGAGTAGGGTTAACTACAGCAATCTTACCAAGGTGATGTCCAGTTGGGTTTTGAGTATCTCCAAGGATTGAGACTCCACAACCTTTCTGGACAGCCTGTTTCATGATTTGACTGTCTTCATAGTGAGAAAGTTCATTATAACGTTTAAATGGGATTTGCTGTAGTTCAGCTTGTGCGCACTGCCTTTTGTCATGTCACTGGATACACTGAGTCTAGATCCATCTTCTTTACTCCCCTCCCCTGCTTCCGCCCTCAATCAGGTGTTTATACACACTGGAAAGATTTCTTGCCCCTCTGCGTTCCCGCCGAGCCTTCTTTTCTCCAGGCTGAATGATCCCAGCTCTCAGTCTTTCCTCATATCAGGTGCTTCAAGCCCTTTAATGATCTTAATGGGCCTTCAGCAGCCTTGGTCCAGCAGGCCTGTGCCTGTCTTGTACTGGGGAGCTCAGCACTGGACACAGCACTGAGCTGAGAACAACAATCACCTCATTCAGCCTGTAGCCAATGGTTTTCCTAATGCAGCCCAAGAATATGTTGGTCACCTTTGCTGCAGGGGGGCATTGCTTGCTCAGGTAGTTTCTGCAGGCTTCATCTGTAACTGGTGTTCAGTTTGAACTAAAAACATCAGAAAGACTGTAAGCTTTTCCAGGTAGAGACTAAGCAAATGTGGGAGAAGCCTAGTCTTTATAGCAACTTTGAAGTGTTGTGCCAGAATTCTTTCATAGTTTAATAATTATCCTCAATAATAAATGCCTAGGTCTCATCCTTTATGAATTTGTTACAGGACAAAACCAAGTAGACTTTAGAAACTGAGTTTTATGCCTCTTATGGTTTGATATTCTTAAAATCTTAACTTATCCCTTAGAGCTCATTAATAATGTTCTGTTTCCAGCTCCAAATATTTCATCTACCTTATCTTCTTACAGCAGAGAGTTTCAACTTGCCATTGTATCTTCTGTGGAAATTCTAGCTCTGTTTGTTATTTCAGTGTTAACTGATGTTGCAGGATACTTAATTGTGACGGGTGTCTAAAACATTTGGCCTTACTCCATAAATTATATGGTTATTATACAGGATCTGAGGCTAAATCAACCTGCTGTCATAACTGTTGCTGAGGTGGCTACATAGAAATACAGGAAAAGTTCTCAGTTGAAATTATTAAGACTGAATTGCTGTAATCAATTTTCTGCTCTTATCAATTGCCTAAAATGTTCTATTCAGTGCAAAACTCCTATCCATGGTGAAAGAATGAACTTTAAATGAAATGCAATACCTGAATTGCAGAAAGGCTGTTGGTATGATTGTTAATTCTACATTTAAGTCTATATTATTAGATGCCAGTCAGCTGCATTAGTATACAATGGTATTTGCTGCACAGCATCCTGGGTTTTAGGCTGGATGTAAGGAGAACCTCAACTGTATGGAAGTTCCGTAAGAACTGATTGGTTTTTGTAAAAGAAACTATTCCTGAAGTTACTAGTTAAAGCAGTATTTGACAGAAGATTTGTTAAAGATCAGACATAAGCAGTGTGTTGTACAAAGGCGTTTTATCTTTGACTCGAGGCTTTCTGTACACAAGAGGTTTTGCTTGCTTACCTTAATGAAAACTAACTACTTGATTTAGGAATGCTTTCATGTTAGAATTCCTGATAGTCTGCAAAGTTAACATTATTGATGTCTGACAGGTGGAAGAAACCAAACTGTGATGTTTGATACTCTTGAGGACTGGCGTGATGAATTGGAGCGGACCAAAGGGAATGTGAAATACAAAGCAGTGACTACCAATGAAGGCTACAGAGTCTCTGAAAAGTAAGTTTGCCCTGGTTAATAGTGACCTTTGGATATACATCTCATTACGATTTGCAAAAATCAGTGCTACCTTTGAGCATTACACAGTTTTTTAGGATTTTTTTAGGATCTGATTTCCATTTTGATTTATAGGATACTTTGATTTGGGACCTCAGGAAGTCATCTTACACAACCCCTGCTCAAGCAGGGTTAACTTCGACATTAGGTCAGGCTACTCAGGACCTTGGTTAGTCAAGCTTTGAATAGCTCTCTAGGGGTGGAGAATACCACCTTAAAATGGAATAGAAAATATGTGGGTCTGGTACCTACATTTTTGTCATACTTACTGGTTAGGACAACATTTTCTCAGTCCTGTACCTTTACTCTGGTAAAATTTCAATTTACATGTACTTGAGATTTTCTTGTTGTTTTGGTTGGGGGGCTGGGTGGGGAAAGAGCAACTGGTTTAAAGTATATCTGCAAAATGTGCTGGTGGAAGTTAAGTTGCATTGCCTTTAGTGGAAGGTTAGAGATGTATACTTCTACCAGTTTACCTGAGTAGTATCTATCAGTGAACCCTTTAGGATGTATACGAGGCTTTGTACTACTGTTGTTTAATAGTCAAATCCTGAAAGGTTTCACAGACCTTGGAAACAAACACCAATTTTCAAAGAAGTCTTAACTATTAATTCTAGAACTCTGTCTTGAGAAACGCAAGCTGAGGTTAAGTACTTTATCTTTGTTGCTTCTGTGGGCCTTGAACATAAATAGTGTTGGCTGATACTGGAAATTCATGGTATATTAAATGACATCCTTGAATTGTGATGCAAACTGCTTATAAGGCATGGAAACAGAACTAGTTATCTAATAGTACAAGGGTATCTTCTGAAACAATGAAGAGTAAGAGAATCAAGGCAGTCTTAACAATCAGTCTTAGATGTTACAATTAAACGTAGGACTTAATTGCAGCCTTGGAAAGGCAGGGGAATGTTGCAGTGAAAATAATGAACGGCTCAAAATTGGAAGAAAATACCTTATCCAGCTGAAAATAAAGGGAGGGTGTTGAGGACAATATAATTATCTAGTAGGAAGGATTATTGTGGCTGTAGGAGTGAATATATAATTAGCATGTAGGCTAGAACTCTCACCATCACTAAAAAGAGCTTGGAGATTGTTCTTTGTTCAATTTTTAAGTGCAAGAAATTTTTTATTTGTTATCCTAGGCTGCCTTTGTATTTTGTTGTTCCCATATGCGTTTCTGAAGAGAGTATCTTGAAGT